ACATTATGGTTTTATTTCCTACATTCCGGACTCTAGACTTTCGCCGGGAATCAATTCTGATTTCCCAGGCGGTACTTAAAATCCCAGCCGGCGGACCAAAGGTTACTTTCTCCCTTGATGCTCCATTGAGAGAAAGAATTTTCAGTTTCAGCAGAGAATCAATTATGAAGCTAAAAGCCAAAGTTAATAACCAGAGATGGGAACTTAACGGCGAGATCGACGTCGCTTAATTATTAGGAAAGCATAGCAACGACACATTCAAATTTCCCGACGAAAAGTTGACGCCGTTAACAATGCAAAAAAATGTTGTCTCGAATGAGACACGAAATGTAAACCCAATGGCTGAGATTTCATCGTTTCAATCATTATGCGCTGTACTATGGCTCGGAATTACACGAGCAAGGAAATTACCACCTTCTAAAACTACAACGTTTCGCACGGCTGTGGATTGCCGCCACCGGCTGGAGCCGAAGCTGGAGCCACTTTACTTCGATAACGCTATACAGAGCATTCCGACTCTCGCATCAGCCGGCGACGTGGTGTCGAAATATTTGCGCTGGTGCGCAGAGCAATTAAATAAGAATGTGTTGGCGCACGATAAGGATACAGTGAGGAAGTTCGTAGAAGATTGGGAGCATGACCCACGGTGTTTCCCTTTGGGTAATTTCGATGGTACGATGATCACAATGGGAAGTTCTCCTAGATTTCCAATGTATGAGAATGATTTCGGGTGGGGTAGACCTGTCGCTGTTCGTAGCGGGCGAGCTAATAAATTTGACGGGGAGATTTATGCATTTCCGGGTCGCGAAGGTGGTNCACAATGGGAAGTTCTCCTAGATTTCCAATGTATGAGAATGATTTCGGGTGGGGTAGACCTGTCGCTGTTCGTAGCGGGCGAGCTAATAAATTTAACGGGAAGATTTCTACATTTCCGGGTCGCGAAGGTGGTGGGAGTGTAGATTTTGAAGTGCTTTTGGCATCGGAGACCATGGCGGGTCTAGAGTCCGACCCGGAGTTCATGCAATATGTCACAAGTTATTAAGTGTAAAATGAAAATAAATAAATATAACTATTTTGTAATTGTGTGAGGGGATTATGGTGGGAGATGGAAGAGGAAGGATGTACTATATATGTTATATAATTTCTTCTTTTTACTTTTTTTTTTGGGTCTTTTTCAAATTGGACTTTTGTTTTAATTAATAAGAAAATAGTTCAGCATAAGAAAAGAAAAAAGATACAAATTAATAAATGAAGAGAAAAATTTAGAAAATGCAATTAGTGGAAATTATATTTTAATGCTTTTAAAGGTATAATTATTGAAAGTTATAGCATGAGAAAATGGTAATTAGCACGTAACGTCTTTACCTTTCATGGAAAATGTCAGCATCTTTTAAGTTTTTTAAATTTCCATCCTTGTTTTCACCTTTCATTGCTCAAAAGATTATTTTCATTCATTTTCTCAATTAAAAATTGTGAAATGAGGATTATACGCTTCTATTTAAATAAAAGAAAAAAATAGAAATAATTGCAACTATCCCAACTTTTTTTTTAAAAAAAATGCAAACAAACCCCAAATAAATTATTAAAAGGGTACTTAGCGCACAATGTCCTTACATTTCATTATTATTGTGAAAAAGTCCACATCTTTCATTTTTTTAGCATTTTCACTCTTAATTATACATTTAATCGAGAAAACCATCATTTCTTTCAATTTTCATCCAATTTCTTAATAAAATATGTGAAATGATGAATATACCCTCATATTTAATTAAAAAATAGAAAAAAAATATTTTTTGAAAGAGCTTATAAATAAAGGGTTAATTCGTTGTTTTTAGGTATCTTGAAATTAATAAAAACTTTTTGATTTTATCTTTCATTCTTTGGTGGATTCCGGATTTGAGTTCTTAAGTGTTTCACTTGAATTTCTTTTTTCGCATTGCGTCACTTAGGGCCAATTTGGCATATCTTTTGCTTCATCTTTTACTTTCTTTAGAAGAGTTTTTAGAGAAAGTCTTCTTAATTTTTGTTTAAAAATTAAATTTTAAAGACACTTCCTATTTCGGAAGTACTTTTAGATAAAATCACATTGAATCAGCTTCCTCTAAAA